TCCCCCTCATCCCATCCCTCCCTGCCCTTGTCCCAAGTCCCTCCCCAGCTTTCCTGGAGCCCCTTCAGGCACTGGAAGCTGCTCTAAGGTCTCCAAAGAAGCAAAGAGACATTCTATGGCCTCAGGGGTGATGATTGTATTGACCTGTGAGCACCTGGTGCCTCCAGCATCATGTTTGACCACCAGCCTGACTCCTCTTTTTGAAGGACTTGAGTAGAACTTCCTACACCTTCCCCTGCTCCAGCCTAGGCCACATTTCCTGCTTTTGTTGGTGTCTCTGATGGATTTCAGCTAAAACTTTGATTTTATTCCCCACTCTGAGTCCTTTTTGGTCCAAAGCCTCATTTTCCTTCTCTCTAGATAAGGTACTAAAGACTTTCTCTTTAGTGGGTGATGGTTTTGGAAACTGATGAAGGTTTGGATCAGTTAGAATGTTAAAAAACCAACAAACCAACCAAAATATTTTGGATGAATTCAAAACTGAAGTCAGATTGAAATCAAACCACTAATTCTGTCCTGGAAAATGGCCTTGTGGAAAGGGTCACCCCTTGGAGGTTTCAGAACTTAAACCAGGGGGTTTGTGCAACATGAATCAGAGATTTTCCACTGCTGGTGGCATCAATATGATCAAGAATGAACATGGCAGAGGTTGGTTTCCACTTCTCTTAAGTGTGTGACTATTTCTCTCTAGAAATAAAATATAAATACATGTATAAAAGCTCCTCTTGTTCCTGTTTTCTAGGAAATACCTGCCTGTACTAAAGAACTTTTCCTCCAAGCACATCTATGAGCCCTGGACAGCATCTGAGGAGGAGCAGAAGGAAGCAGGATGTATCATAGGTAATTCCTTGGGATCCTTGCTGGGGGTTTGGCTGCTGCTACTTGGCCAAAAGAATCACAAGCCTGAGGTGGAAGCATCTCACTGCCAGCAGGAGGCAGGATTTGATCTTCTGAAAATGGATTAGTCATAGAATTATGGGATGGGTTGGGTGGGAAGGGACCTGAAAGATCATCCAGTGCCAGCTGCCACGGGCAGGGTCACCTCCCAGCAGCCCAGGCTGCTCCAAGCCCCATCCAACCTGCCCTTCAAAACCCCCAGGGATGGGGCATCAACAACCTCCCTGGGCAACCCATCCCAGTTCCTCACCACCCTGAGAGTGAAGAATTTCTTCCTCATCTCTCACCTCAATCTCCTCTCTCTCAGTTTAAAACCATCACCCCTTGTCTTCTCCCTCCCTGCCCTTGTGCCAAGCCCCTCCCCAGCTTTCCTGGAGCCCCTTCAGGCACTGGAAGGTGCTCTAAGGTCTCCCTGGAGCCTTCTCTTCTCCAGGCTGAACACCCCAACTCTCTCAGCC